TGAGTCAACCAAACTGCTCTGTTCCGGTTCAGGAAGGCAGATTCAGTTCAGCACCGGTTCAAGCAGGCCGGCCGGTTCAGGTTTAGGCGGTTCGGGTGGGACTTACTTGTCGGGCGGTTAACCTGGGCTTCGGATCTGGATCTGATCCTGACTCTGCAGTGAAGTCAAGAAGTCGACGTCGGCTACGCTTGGCTGCCGGCTTCGGATCTGGCCTTCTGTTTTGATTCCGGCGGAGCTTTGTCTGTGGCGCCGTCGTTGTTGATCGGAACCGTGGTGAAGGGAAAACTGAGAAGAAAAGGCTACTAGAAAAAACAGCCCGGATCAGAACGCTGTCGTGGTCGGGGGAGAATGGTAACCGGAAAACTCCTCTCTAACTGCTGTGATCGAGCGGCGTCGAAGCTGGCAGAAGAACTGCAACAATCGGCCCGGTGAGTAACTTGTACTGACTCATCTGTTGCAAAAATAATCGAACCAGATTATTCTCTCTTCTGGTTTGCATGAATCGACGGCAGGTGTATCGTCGAACGGCCAAACGACAGCTTCGGACGTCGACTGTATAACCGCCGTCGATTCGACCCAAACTGATCGACGGAAGGTTAATTCCTGTTTCAATGCCGATTTCTTTGATGTGGTTCAATCGGGAAGCTCTGCTTCTCCGTCGATTCTGGTCAGCCGGCATTATCGTGGCCGGCGATCCTTCAGACTGAATCTGCTTCAAAAGCTTGATTTTCCGCTTTTTGATGTGGTTCAATCGGGAAGCTCTGCTTCTCTGTCGATTCTGGTCAGCCGGCATTATCGTGGCGGCGATCCTTCAGACTGAATCTGTTTCAAAAGCTTGATTTTCCGCTTTGTTTCTCTCCGGAGCTAGCACAGCCGGATGCCTTTCTCTCTCCTTGTCTGCCGACTGTAGGCCGTCAACCCCAGATGGCTCTGGATGCTCCGATCTATGCAAGATCGGTCAAGACTTGACGGCGGTCGGCGGTCGGCGGTCGGCGGTCAAACCGTGCTTTCTGGAAGGGGATGACCAAATTGCACTTTGGTTCCTCAGACTTTCTGCTTCGGCAGATTGGTCCCTGAAATCTTCATTTTCTAACCCCGGGAACTTCTAATTTCCTCACTTAGGTTCTCCCTGTGGAAGGATGCTAAGAATAGGCTCTGACATGATAGAATTTGGAAAGTAATAGAAAGTTTTATTGAATTGAACTCTGGATCAAATTTTATAAACCCTCTCTACGAAATAAGAGAAATCACAATCCTCATCTTACAATAATTATAAATAAATCCTAAAGTATCCTAACAGTATATAACTCTTCTTTAGTTTATTGGCATCAGTTTACATGGTGCTTTAAAGTTCCTCTTAAACTAGGGCTGTCAACTAGTCGGATTTGGATCAAAGCAGGCTAATTTGAATCCTAATCTATTAACATTATGTATATATTTTCTACATATAGAGATTATGTAAATATTGTGTTGATATTAGAAGATTGTATAGGAGATATTAAGAGATTGTATGAGAGATTTGATTTGTTTGATTTCTTTTTTTTTATGCAAGGATTAGAGTTATATGTGTGTATCTTGAGGATTTTATCCTCACGAGTAATGAAATACAATCAATATATGCAACTTGGTATCAAAGCTTACGGACAACCCTAACCTTATCGTCGTTCCCACCCTCGTTGAAACCACTGGCAGTCATCAAAGATCTCAATTGACTATCTCGGGTCAACAATGAGTCTTTCATCTCACCGGGATCCTTTCTCCTATTTGTTGAAGGCTTGTCTCAGCTTTTGATTCTCTAATCCCTAAGTCGTCACTAGTTTTCGTCATTGGCTTAGACTAAGATGTCTCTGGTCGACGTCTGATTTCTCGTGTTCGTCGGCTTCGTCTGCTTTGTCTTTGACCAACAAAGCTTCCATAGCCCTTCTCCCCAGTCATTTGCATCGTTTGTATCATTTGCTTCGTCCTTAGTCGTCTTGTCTCGACTGGAGTTACAAGCCCTCAACACTGTTTCATTACTGTTGAATTGAAAACAGATTGGTCCAGAAAGGTTTATTTTTTTGACCGGTCTAACCAATTCATCTTTAACCTAGTCCAGACCGGTTTTACTCAAATCAGTCAACTCACTCTGGTTCGGTTTGGTTCAACATGACTTTCACATCAAATTCTTCCTCCGTCACTTCTGAATCTTCGAGAAAAGGATTCATCTTTTTCACCTTCTCTGGCATCCCATTATAACATCAGAAAAACTTAATAGTAAGAACCACTTGGATTGATATGCTGCTGTTAATATATGGTTTTTAAGACAGAGACTTTTCGACCATCTAACCAAAAAGGCCGAGGATATTGCTAAAGTAGAACAAGATAAATGGAAAAGGGCTGAATATCAATTAGTTTTCTTATTATGGCAATCCATTGATCCAAAGTTGTTGGTACACTTCCGTCCCTATAAAACATGCTATGACATATGGAAGAAAGCTAAAAGTATCTACTCTAATGATATCCAGCATATATATGACTCTGTCTATAACTTGGCAATGCTTCACATGAGAGATAATGATCTACCCTCATATTTAAACAAAGCACAGTCCACCATTGAAGAGATCAAGTTGATATTGACTGGACATGGTCTTCCAAAGGTGTTGGAAAAACTTGACCAAATGTATATGGCGTTTGTCTTCCACAGTCTTTATCAAAGATTTTGAATTTGTGAGGAATCTAGTTCTAACAAATCCTAATGTTCCTACAACAGAGGACCTTATTGACTATTTGCTTTGAGTTTCTCCTTTGGAAACAACAATTGGAATTGGTCCCCAAACAGGTACAGAATCTTCAGCTTTTGTCTTGAATACAGCTGAACATGGAGGACGAGGACGTGGTTGTGGTAAAGGTGGTTGTGGTGCTGGTAATCATCCTCAGTGTTCCAATTACCGATTTCCATATTTAAATTTGATCCTAGATCCTATAGAATAAGTATCTGTTAAACCATATCTGAATCTAATAAATAATTTGAAATTCGATAAGAAAATCTAATTAGACAAAAAAATGATACTCTTTCACACTTAAATCCTTCAACTTTATTTTATTAATCATATTGGTCTTTGAATTTTTTGATTTTTTCCATATAGTCCCTAAAAGTTTGAATTTATTAACATTATATATATGTATATAAAAATTATTAATTAAATAAAAAATATTATTAAGATTCAGATTTGAATTTTTAATGGATCGGATTACTTAATTTTATGTTTGATTCACTTATTTTAGATTATGAATATTTATAATTGAATATAATCTATCGAATATCTTAATTGAATTCAAATCATAAAATTTGGATCGAATTCAAATCGGATTCAGGTTAAAATTCAATCAATTGACAACTCTATGTCAACCTCGGTTGGTTGGACAATCTTCTCCAATTGATTGGGAGCTCAAGTTGGAACTCCTCTTCGTCCTCTTGTAAGGATTTGCCTCCCATATGGAGCTGTGAAACAAATAATGACACTAACATGGCTCTTCCATTTTCCGGCCATTAGTATGCTTTAGTTTTTTTTATCGTTAATCCATCATTTTTTTTTAAAAAAATTTGCCCATACACTCTTCCATATTGTTTCATTGTGAATAGTATCCTATCTTCTAAGCATAATAGTTTTTCTCCTTTGCAGGTGCTTGGGTACAACCATATGAGACATGGGTGACAGGTCAAAACATAGAATTTTAATGGTGTCCGATTTTTTCTATCCCAATTTTGGGGGCGTGGAGAGTCACATTTATTGTCTGTCTCAATGCTTGCTTAAACTTGGCCACAAGGTAAGATGACATACTCATTTGTGGTTTGTGATGCTTTTTCTTGCCTTTACGGCTATCTTCAAGGAACCCTTGAGAGATGCATTTTCTGGATGCACAAACAACTTTGAAGGTGATGTTCTAGTGTTTCTGGGGAAAGTTTGTATTTGATATGTCGGTGTATTCTCAACTTGAGGACTTGGATGCTTGATCCTTTCTTTTTGTATGCCTATTTCAGCAAGTTACTGAAGGAGGATTGTTTTAGAAAGAAACTTTCTCTTGCTTCAGTTTTAGAAATTTCATAATCTAGGAAGCAGTGAAACACAAATACTCCATCTGGTGTGACTTGAATGCATCTAACATGCATTGGACGAAGATACTTCATTGACTTACAAAGATGAGTATTTAACCCGCCACGTGGCATTTCTAACTTTTTAATTTATTTTTTTTATGCTGGACCTTGTCTCCTTGTATTCGGGCACGAGTGCCTTAGCCAAGTCTAACCTTTTGCAGAATAGAATAAAATTAAATATATATATCACATATAATTAGCTAATAGAGGAATGAAATAATTGTTATAAATCTAAAGTGATTTTTAGTACATGTGTTGTGTTTAAGCATAAATGAATTAGGAATATTAAAATATTCGAGTTATAAATGTAAAAGTATAAATATTAAAAAAAATTTTAGACGTTAGATCCATGTTTGTGTGCTATTTTTTTCAAAGTTGCTATGTTGGTGTATTTGTGGTTATGATTTTAGTTCACACTTCTACAAACTAAAGTGCTTTTTAGATTTTGTCATTTCTCTCTGAACATTAGGGCCTGAAATTATTAGCGATTATTTATTTATTTTTTGGGGGTGTGCTACTTCAGCTGTCTGTCTATTGAACTATTTGCCGTATATTTTCCTTGTCATTGGCACTTGGATATGGTTTCATAAACTGATGTTTCTCTTTATCATATATGCGGACAAAAACTCTGTGAGATAGTGATATGAGCTGAACTGTTCTCAATTTCATTGAATGTTTACCTTGACATTTGGTTAGCTAGATTTGTGCTTTCAGTCCTACTATTGTTTTCATAAGAAATAAAATGTTCTACCTGGTTACGACTATCCATATGATTAATTTTTAATTTTGAGGTGCAATTAGATCCTACCTGTTTGATCTTTCACTGCAATTCTTAGTAGGAATTATTTAGATTAAAATATATAGAATGGTAATCGAGTTCCAGGCCATTGTGTGTTATGGTAGTTTGTCAGACCATATTGATTTTGTTGATCGTCAGGTTGTGGTAATGACTCATGCATATGGAAATCGTTCTGGGATGAGATATATGACAGGGAGCCTGAAAGTCTACTATGTACCATGGAAACCATTCCTCATGCAGAACACACTGCCAACATTTTATGGGACATTTCCAATCATAAGAACAATCCTCATTCGTGAAAAGATAACATTGGTGCATGGACATCAAGCTTTCTCAACTCTTTGTCATGAAGCTTTGATGCATGCTCGCACTATGGGGTACAAAGTTGTGTTTACTGATCATTCACTTTATGGTTTTGCTGATATGGGTAGCATTCATATGAACAAAGTATTGCAATTTACTCTAGCTGATGTGAGTCAAGCCATTTGTGTCTCTCATACAAGTAAAGAGAATACAGTTCTTAGGTCAGGGCTGCCACCAGAGAAGGTTTTTGTAATACCAAATGCTGTGGACACAGCTATGTTCAAGCCTGCTCCAGAAAGACTTGGTACTGATGAAATTGTTATAGTTGTGATAAGTAGATTGGTTTATCGGAAAGGTGCAGATCTGCTTGTTGAAGTAATCCCTGAAGTATGCCATTTATATCCCAATGTGAGTTATTTAGGTATTCTTTGGGGGTTTCCTTCGTATGATTTTCCATGAGCTTTTGATATTTTGCGTCTTTTGTACCATGGAATGGATTATCTTGAATTTTCTTTTAAGTCTGTGCCTGGAGAACAATTATTCTTTGCTGGTCTATCAAAGAGTGGGAAAACAGATGAAAGTTCATGAATGCATGACCTTCATGTGGATTTCCATCTTGTTAAATGTTATATCGATTGCTTTGCTAACAAATACTTTACCAATCAGCATTTCTTGTGCTGATTAAAATAATGAGCTTTTTGTTTATAATTTACCTGGACACCATTTTAAAATTTTTTTCTACAAGTTGCTGGTGTGATACTTACATGGGAAGAGACAAACTGATCCTCCTCCTGGTCAAGAAAGGTTAAGTTGCATTGATCTTGATTTGACTGTGTCAAATTATAGTCCTCTTGGCCTTTCTAAAACTACCTCCACCTCTATTGTTAGCATTTTTGTACTGGTGGAGTTAACATAAGATTTAAAGTCATCACATTGCCCTTGATTTTGAAGATTTTGGTATAATATGCCATCGAAGTGTGTCTCATTTATGTCTTGTTTTGTTTTTTTGTATTTTTTTTTGTATTTTTTTTATTTTATTATTTTTTTTGCTTTTCCTGATCTCTCTTACATTTATTGTTTTTTTCCCCTTTACTTTGTGCTTGACCTGGCTGCTGACTCATTAGTCACTATCAACAAGTTCTCCTTTTGCTCTCTGTTTTGAAAGAAAACTTTTTCTATATTGTCACACAATTTCATCTCTGCGTGTTGATCATCTGCTGCTAATGATCATTCTCTAGACCAATAACCAAGCCTAGCTGACATCATCCATCATCAATATGACAGAAAAATAAAAATCAAAGCCTCAGCCCTAATATGCTGAATTAAAATTATTTTACTTGATAAGTTGTGATTAAAAATGATTTGAATTTTTGAAGAAGTGGTCATGAGTTTAGTTAGTGATAATGGGGGAGGAAGTTGGAAATTATTGCTGATAAAGATATCTCGGGTGAGTTTGCAGTTGATAAATGAGACTGACTGTTACCTTAAATTGTTCTACCTGGTGATGTAGAAGTAGTCATAGTTGGGCTTGCTATAATATCAACTATTCTCAAGAAAGTGTTCTCTGAATGCTTGTAGATTGTGCTGTTGAATTTTTACATTAGACATGTGATGGTTTCGCTTAAGCTAGCTTATAATTGATTTCTTGATATTTGATCTTTGAAGCGTACATTGGACCATTTCAAGATTATTGCATTTGTGCATTGTGTACATTTTGATCAATTGGTGGTGGCCAAGTAGATGGGTAAATTTAAAATGACTAGCCTTGTGAACAAAGTTCCTGGCTGCAGTGTCTGTGTGAAGGTCAATTGGGCATTTGTTTATGGAAATTGATTTAGTAAATTAAAATTTATTTTAGAAGCGTAAAATAAATAAATGAATAAATAAATATTTTGGGAAGTCAATGTAATAAATAAATAAAATAAAAAATTTGGGCAAGTCAATGTGACCTTGAAAAGTCTAGGATGCCTACTTATATTTGTCTTAATTTTGTGAAAAAGAGAGTGTAAATAATAAAATGGACAAAGGATTCTTTAGGTGGTGCCGGTTTTAAAAGAAACATCATTTGCGTCTACAATAGTGTTTCCAGAAATCACAGACCTGGTAACCAGTGGGTTTTAAAAACGATATCTGCATGTAAGCTGTGTTGTAGGAATTGCATTTTTCTGTTTGCATATATTAATGTTGCAAGAATGGCTGAGGTTATCAACCATTGTGATATATACTCTCTTTTTTGTCTTTTCCATGTTTCCTATATAATTTCACATTGAACAAGAGGTTACAAGCAAATGTATTGTATTTTGAGGTGGCCATAATGACTTTTTGAACTTCTTCATGTTACAAGCTCATTTCTTATTATATAATTTTTTCGAAGGTCTTTTAGTGAGTATCACTCCTTTATGAAGATTTTCAACATTGCTATGGCTGTTGACCACTTGACATACTGTGGTATCTATGTTTGTAATCTTTACCCACTCATGCAAATTATCCTGATAAAACTTTGGTAAATAGATGTACCTAATTGCTGTATTTGTAGCAGAACGTTGCCATTATTTCTCTCCTTTTTTGTTCTCCCCTCACCCCCTCCCCTTGTAAATTATCAGCAATTTTTGCAAAGTATTTATACATAGTAGCAGTTGCCTTTATGTTTCCCCGAAATTCAATTGGCTTATCTAGAATATTGTTAAGGTTCGTTTCATAATTGGGGGAGATGGGCCGAAGAGGGTCAGGCTGGAAGAGATGAGGGAAAAATACTCTCTTCAAGATCGAGTGGAAATGTTAGGTGCTGTCCCGCATGCCAGAGTACGCTCTGTCCTGATTTCAGGCCATATATTCTTAAACAGGTAAACTTATTTTTATGTTACTGACCTGAGATATATTTTGTATTATTTTCTTCTGTGAATAACATGTCTGACAGGAGCTTGAGCTAGTCACTTTGTTTATATGAATAACAATGACACTAAGCTAAATACAACCTTTCAGTTCTTAATCAAATAAAAATGCATGTGAACAGTTGGATTCACTTTTTCAGATAGGTCCCTGCTCCAGTATTTATTATAATACACGTTATTTGGACATGAGTGTCAAATTTCATATGATTTGCATAATCAATCTTGTACAAAGAGGGGTGTATAAGAATTTTTAGTTTGTCACCATTGTAATTGTTTCATGTTTAAAAGCGTAGATGAAAGCTAAACGAAAATGAAAGTGTTCAGCCTGTTTGGTTTTTATTCTTTTTAGTTTTTGTTTTAGTGCTTTGAACTTTTTTAGAAACTTGAGTCTTTGGTAACCAGACATTCTGACTGCTTGTGTTTAAGCAATGATGCTGTTGGCCAATAAAATTTCAATTAGAAAAATGAGAATATTAGGGCCTGTTTGGTTCAGCCCTTTTCTGTTTTCATTTTCACTGAAAACAGAAAATGGTGCTGAAAACATGTTTGGTTAACTGTTTTTCGTTTCCATTTTCTGGAAACGTTTCTTAAGTTTAGCCAGAAATAGGAAACAACAAAAAGTTGTTTCCAGCCTTTTCTGTTCGGATTGGAAATGCGGTGGCAAATAAGTAAATATAATCATTTTCAGTGTTGTTGTTGTGTCCCTTATTTGTCTGTTACTGTAGCGTTCAAACAAGAAGGAGAGGGATTGTTCGCCAGACTGCCGATCGCGGAGGGGAGAGATTGTGAAAGAGTTCGTTCGCCGGAGTGCCAAGCGTGGAGGCGAGAGGCTGTGAAAGGCTCGTTCGTCGTGCTCTGTTAACAGAGTCGACGCCGCGCTCTGTTTGCGAGTTGACGTCGAGTTCTGTTCGCAGAGTTGACGTCGAGCTGTGTTCAGAGTCAACGCCGAGCTCCATCAAGCTCCATCGACCGGCAACCATGAAACATTGATCGAAATTTGAGAAATATTGATCAGCAATCAAAAAAATTTTCTATTTTTTCTTCTTCGAATTTCTAAAATTTCGCCGTTTGGCACATTATTTGTCTAAATTAGTTTAGGGTTTTTGTTCTTCGGGGTACAATATATAAAATCTAACTGAAAATTTCTAGAAAAACTGAAGATTGAAGAAGAATTGAAGTCGGGTCGCGATCGGGTCTAACAGACCTGATTGCGACCCGCTGGAGGAAAGGGACGAGTCCCCTTTTTGCCATTTTGTGAAATTTTTTTTCAGTCCCTAATCTTTGCCTCTTCCTTCAATCTGGTCCTTCAACTTTTTGAATGTCAATTCCAACTTTAGAAGTTTTGATTTCTTTGTCTAAACCCCTATAAAAAAACCCTAAAATTTTGATTTCTTTCAATTGAGTTCCCAGTTTCAATTTATTGAAAATGTATTAAACCAAACATATTTTCTTTATTTTCTTTTCTGGAAAATAGAAAATGGCAAATCTTACCAAACATGTTTTCTAATTTTAAAAAATTTTGAAATGAAAACTACTTTTCAAAAAATAGAAATAGAAAAGGAAAAGGGAGAACATTTTCACAAACCAAACAGGCCCTTAATTTTTATCATGCATGGACCTGACTTGTATTCTTGGTAGGAGTGACATAAAGCTCAGAATTATGGGTGTATTAAATATTCCCAAATAAAAAGGGAATTGTTCTGCAGTCGATTTCATAACAAACAATAATTTATAGTTGTACCTAATAAAATGACTTCTTACTTTCACTTTAGTGGAATTATTTCTTCCTTCTAGAAAGAAATTATGTTCAATGAAGCAAATAGCTGATATTTCACAGTTAGAGGAGTCTATCCGTTGCAAATAGATTACACAAATTTAGCGTTGTAGTCTATGTTAACTAAACATTCCAACAATTTAAGTGATTGTCAGTGGTAAATAAAATTTCCGGAGAAGAAACATGGAAATATCAAGTTGATCATGCATAAATCCTCTACTCTCTGCATAATCTTAGAGTAGGAGCTGGAACTGTTTTCCATAATTATTTGGCAGTCTTTTCTCTTTAGTTGAAAGCCTTCATTTGTTTTTTCTTTTTGTTTCTTATTATCTTATACAACCAGAAGCAGCTTTCAGATTCAGCCATTAGAATTTAATTTTAAAGAAGATACTTGCATTGAGAAGAAAGAAAGGGGTGCACTGATGATCAGGGGCCATGTAATTTTCAGTTAGTTTATTTTAGTGTTTGGCTCAATTGATCAATTTTCAATCTGATAACTGGGAATTTAGATGCTGAAATTGATCTTTGTTGGCAGATCAAATAAAAAGCAAAAATAGTAAATATCTACCATTTATTTGCTATTGTTATTTTTTAAAATTATTTATTTATTTATTTTAATCAATTGAAATCTGTGCACTTCTCATACAAGCCAGAACCCTTCTTGTACTTACTGAAATATGTAGTGTAAAGAAGAAAAATCTCTAACATAATGTAATACATGATTGTGTTTTAGTATCAAGATTGAGAAATAAATTGCCATTTTCTGTTTACAGTTGAATAAACAACTAATAATGGGGAACTTTGCTGTCCTGAGGTAAAGGTGCTACTTTTTAAAAGCGATTCATTGTAATTTCTTAATTTATTACTTCGTTATAATAAAGTAGTTTCATTTTCTTCCAGTAAAAACTGGAACCATTTAAAACTGTCAAATTGATTTTGGACTGTAAATATTTTAGTAGTGATATTCTCATTTGTTTATTTAGTTTGTTTGGAAATTGTCTCCAATATTCTAGTAAATATGGTCAATTTGGTTGGAAACAGTAACAAAATTGGAAAAAATGTGGTTATTTGAATAATATTATAATGTTTGTTCACTCTAATTTTTTTCAACCTCCTAGTTTGACCGCATTACTGTTTTCATGATGATTTTTAACTGGTGTTTTATCTCAATCAACCAATGGAAAAAGAAACAAAATATTATCTCGTGGTTTAGTTTTCTTGTATTTGGAATGATTAATACTGTCAAATTGCCTGATTTTATGAAGTGGGAAAATGAGAATTTAAACATTGAGGAGTATTGGAAAAGCTTTCAGCAGACAAGGGCAGGATGATTTTTAATTTGGAAAATCTTGCCTAGATAGTAACATTTAAGCAAATAATGATCTGGTAATTCCAATGGCTTCCAGTTGTTATGAGTAACAAGTTAAAACCTTCAGCATCAGCTTGTGTGCCTTGTTATGTATCATTTGAAAATACATTTTCATTCTTTTAACAGGCATTTCACTTCTCCTGAGAATGCTAGCCAAAATCTTAAAGTCATTAATGTCCTAAAATTGCTGTATTACATGCATTGGTATTTTGTCTATCTAATGGATATTTTTTGTATATACCCTTTATTATGTTTGACTTAGTATTTCTTGAATCTCCAAAGTTTTATCAGAAGCTACCCTTGTGCTCTTCTGTTATATCAGAAGCTACCATTGGGAAAATAAGGATCCAGGGAACCTGACTGTCGACGACTTTGGAAAACAATTGGCACAAGTATTATATGGACTACATGTCAATATAAGTTTGCAACTACCTAGATTATATTTTCTATATTCCTGGATATGTGGATTTTGGTGAAGAATTTTTGGATTGCTGTGGTGAATTGGCTAGGACATCCATGTTTCAGTACCGGGACACTTTTTTAAGAGGGTCCACAAACATTTGAATGAAAAAAAAATCTGTTTAAAATTCCTGAAACATAATGGAGGATGCTGTGAATTGCTGAATATGAAAATTGACTGTTAAAACATAGCGGAGCATGGTTCACAAAACTTGGTAAAGATAATAATGTAGCAGATGTAATAAATGTTCGGTGTGAAGCGATGTTATCATTCAAATTTGAACTGCTTACATGTGTTTATGCTAGTGCAGATCGAAATCATTATGGCTTTTTTTCTTGGTATATGTCTGCATATCTTGCTTGATATTGAGGATCCTTGAAGTCCTTTTGCAAAAACTAACTGTAAGCTGAGACTTAAAATAATAAATAAGTGAAAAAAAGGAGAAAAAAAAATAATTGGCACGTTAAGGATGGTTGACACAAATGGCTGTCTCCACAAAATTGTGTATACATACATGTATATTTATCAAACAACTTTACCTAATTTTGCATGTTTGTTGTGCCAGTTCCTTAACAGAAGCCTTTTGCATAGCAATACTAGGAGGCTGCGAGTTGTGGTTTATTGACAGTCAGTACACGCGTGGGAGGTGTCCCAGAGGTATGGATCATGAAAGGTTTACTCTATACCTGGTTGACTTGATTAACATGTACTTTGCGTTCTTAAATAAGTGGGGATGAGTTTTTTTTTTTTTTGGAAGCACCAACTTCTAGAAATTCTTGCAAAAAATTTGGCTTTCCATATTTCTTTTGATCTGCCTCATCAGGTTCTACCAGAATGATATGATTGTCCTAGCAAAACCTGATCCCATTGATATGGTACAAGCAATCCAGAAGGCAATATCCATGCTTCCGACAATCAATCCACAAGCTATGCATCACCGTGTAAGTCAGTTTTCAAAAGTATATACAGTCAGTTGCTGATCAATTTTGTTTATGCTTTACATCTTATATTTGCTGCCAGATGAAAAAGATTATACAGTTGGCATGATGTTGCTAGAAGGACAGAGATTGTCTATGACCGTGCTTTGAGGTGTCCAAATCAGAATCTTCTGGAACGACTTTCCCGGTATGGTTTATATTGTGTGACAAGTTATTGCCTTCCTAATTGCCTATTCTTTCTTCTATCTTTTAAAATTTTGAAGTTCTGCTTTTGTTTTTTTTTTTTTTTTCTTTTGAAGGGAAGGGGGGGGGGGGTCACATTCTCCTAATACTAACTAGTTTTTCTTTGTTATTTGTGTGTTTGCCATCGATCAATTAGTTTTTTTAAATTTTTAATTTTTTTTATTTTTCAAAATTCAGTAGAGCAGTTAACTAAACCAAATCGATTTTTCTTTGGCAATTTCATAATTTAATTTTTTAATCCAAACCAATGCTGTAGCACATGTCAATATGCACTTCCTCTCCCTTTGTTTTCTCTCTCTATACATGGTAATATGAGGCCCAGAGCCTCTTCCACAAATTATCACCAGTGGGTTAAGGCCTCACCCCCTCCATCTCTCTTCAACCAGAGCTGCTGCCAAAGTCATCCACACATCATTTCCTGTAACCAAAAGGGTGGTGCCACTAGATTCACCACATTGATCAATGTAACCTTCATATTGTCACTTAGATCCACATGTAACTAATTTAACTGGACATGATCTGGATTCATTTTGGCTTAGATGGTAGATCTGGAAATAATATGCCTTAATCCATCTGGACCTTGGCCACTTAACATCTCTTTTGGATTGTATATTTTGTTGCCAAAGCAACTGCATGCCTGGATCTGAATCCAGATTTGAATCCAACCTGACACAGTTGTGATCTGTGAACTATTAGATCTATTATATCTGGATTGTAGGAATCAATTTCCAGATACAGATCCACAGATGTGACCCATCTAAATGACCATCACTGTCATGCCACCACCATGAAAGCAAAATCTACTCCTTGATGTGCCATCACTAGGCAACGGAAAATACTGCACCTGATTTACTGTTTGGTGCTCCCAATGGAATGTGCCTTTGCCCATCCATGTCCATCAATGGAGTCACTTACCATCACATTTCTTAAAAGCCTCATCTGCTTACAGCTCATCCGTTAGAATCATCTTAATAGATTGATAGCGCCTGTGACGGCCTATACCTTTTGGACTTGGAAAGTACGAAGGCTATAGTCCTCAAGGTATGTGCTATCACAGTTAATATAAGAGCTTTAGGTTACAAATGTTTTGGGGATTTTAGATTTGAAATTTATGCGGGGAGATTTTTAGTTGGAATCCTTACTTCCTTGTATTGTGTGTTGTAGGATGTTGAATACAAATGGTTGTCGATCCACCTACTTCATGAGTAATCCTGAGGTTCAGACACTCGAACTAAAAGTGGCAGAACTTAAAAAAGAATGATAGAGGATTTGAAACCTATACTGTATTATGAGATAAAAATGGTCTATTACGACGTATTCCTCCAGTGAACTGAGGCCCGAGTAGAGAGGGTAGCTGGGATACTGCAGCATATCATGGAGCTATGGTGGGATCCTTTCACCCAGGAGCCTGATGAGTGGAAATCTAAGAGTTCAGTCCTAGCCAAAGCATTTCAGGGAGCCAATATACCCTTCCTGGTCCTAGTTTCGTCCTTGCAGATGAGTATGCCCTGGGATGCTGTCATGGCCATCATGTGATGGTTAAGCATGTATGAGGAGGACCTGGATGTTGGGGCATATCCAATAGAAACATGAGGTCATTGAGATCTTGTTGGATGAGGAGGATGGTTACTAGATAGTAGTAGTACTCGTATTGGAATTAGTAGCAAGTAAGAAGGCCTAACTTGTACATCAGCAGGTCATGACTGTCAGGCTGCTCCATTTTTTCTGTGTGATAGTATTAGGCATTACACTTGTAATCGAATTTGGAACTTCATGTATAATATTATGTGCGCTTATGTACATGTGTCCTTTTGTACTATTTCTTCGTGAAACACTGGTTAAATTTGCATCATTGTATGATACCCATTCATTAGGAATCCAAGTTTGATTACAAATATGGTGCCTAGTAACTATCATACAATAAAGTTGTGAGCACCTTAGCAGTTGGTCGTTTGAGTCCTATTGATATAGAACAAAAGGTTAGGCCTTCTTACTTGCAATTGCCAGTAAATACGGGTATGAGTACTGTTCCTATCTAGTGGACCGTTCTCCTTATCCGACAACATTTTAATGAGCTCATGATCTATGGAATCTACCCTTGACTTCCAGGGCATCGTCCTCATTTGTGCTAAACCATCCAACCTGATGGCCATGAGTGCATCCTGGGGCATATTGATTTGCAGGGCTAACTAAGACTTGGAGGCATAAATTTGGCTTGCTGAAATGCTTTGCCTAGGATTGGACTCAATTTTCACTCATCAAGCTATTGGTGAAAGGATTTCACCCTGGCTCCATGATTCACTGAAGTATCCCGGCTGCCTTTCTACTTGAGCTGTGGCCCACTAGATTAATGTCATAATAGACATATTTCTATTCTTATAATACAGCACGTGTTGGAATCCTCAATCATTCCTTTTATTTGTGCTAGTGCAGCAATGTTGGATACTTGCCCTGGCCCATTTTAATGTTATTTCGGCCTAATCAGGTCATTGGACTTCTAAGCTCATTAAATTGTCAGTTTGAGTGATCTACTTGAATGTAAATTGTGATGTGATAAAGATTTTTTTTTTTTTTTTGGTTTCAAAAAGCTACATGAGTGGTCAATCAGGGGCAGATTTTGTGATTTGGATGATAACATTAATTTGATGCAGCTGTTTAAATACATGAAACTAATGTTAAGGTTTTCTGATGACATGACCTGTAATTAGGTACCTCACTTGTGGTGCTTGGGCAGGCAAGCTTTTTTGCTTGGTTATGATCATCGATTTTTTGTTGTGGCATCTGTTGCGACTACTTCAGGTATTCCCATCTTGTATGGTCTGTTGTTCTAAATTTGTCTCTTTGATTTTTAATTGGTCTTAATTAGCAATAGTTTTTATTATGAATAAAGACACTTAGAGAAAAGCTGAAGTATTTGGAGGTGTGAGATTTGACTGGACAGTCATCCAGCAGTGTTATTGTTCAAAGGAACCTTTTTTTTTTAAAAAAAAAAAAAAAAAAAAATCTCTTTCAACCTCATGACAAGTTTAGGACAGAAAATCATGTGTGAAAGGTAGACAGTTATGGGGTTCAGCAAAGGGCCTCATTTATAAAGATTTTAGTATTTCTTTTCTGATTTGAAGGGGCTTGATTAGATCAAATTTCTGAATTGTGCTAGGAGTATTAACGGTTTTTTAACAGCCATGTTTAGGCAAATTTCAAATTGAAGTTCTAGTAATGCTTAAAAATCTACTTTTCTATCTTCATTCAAGAATTCTTTATCCAAACTCAAGCAATTGGAACTATTAATCCAGCTCATCAAAAATTATGTTTTGCAATTTCACAAACCAATTTCTTTTTTTGGATTGACCTTTGGATACAAGACAGATGGCATATATTTCCTCAACCCTGTCATTGAGAGCTAAAGGATTTAATCTTCTTAATAATTAACCTTTTTTAGGAATATGACTTGCCTAATAGAATGAACAACACTTTTGCCACGAAGCTATACCCTCTACAATGTGATTATGTATACAAATGGATCTTTTAACAGGGAATTGGACATAATAAAGATGAGAAAAAAAAATCATGAATTCTACAAATTAACTTTTTTAGTTTAAGAATTCATTATTTTGGTTTGATTAAACATAATATGTAACTGAAGGGTCTGATTAGCTAACAGAACAAACATTTTAGAATGCATTGCACAAAACTTTATTTGAGGAACAGAAACATGTTTGTCATAAATATATCGTTATTTTCATGTAGAAGATACAATTTACCATGATTTTTCATGCTTGCAATCAATATTTCACTTAATGATTCTTAAGTGTCTCAAGCCAAAATAAAGCTTCTATATTCAAGACAGCAATCAAAGCTTATGCATTCTTTCTGCATTCTCAAAGACTCAAATTGACAAGTAATTAAAAAAACATGTATTATAGAACCTTGGAGTCTGTGCAGGATAAGATAAATAATACTAATGGCTTTGCCACAATTAGCTTCCATAGTTCATAGTATAGAGTAGCAATTTCTTATAATACATAAAAGCGTTAGCAGCAGTTTAAGCAAACATTTTTGCGAGGTGAACTATTTTTAAAGGCATTGTACATTCCTAGATCATACCTGGAAGTACTATAATGAGGATTCAATATACCTTTCATCTAAAGAAGAATTTATGCACAAAACTTTTTTCACTTTTTGAAAAATAGAAGAATTTCTCTGAGTAGAGACCAAAGACCAATCAAGTTACTTCAAAAGGCATTGCCTGTGAGATTAACTAAAACGATTGGTACACCTCTATTGAACACTATTGCCACACCAGGCAGTGCCCTATATTAAGAAATCATTTCGTGGAAAAAATGTGATCATATAGAGGGAAAGATACTTACCGTGAGAGTTGAGTAGAAGACCAAAGTTGAAGATTTGAAGCAGAGAGGACGACTGTGGGAACTGACAAAGTTTCAATTTGAGTGGAGAGGCTGACTGGTGAGATGCCTGGATTTTGAGTGGAGAGTTGAACCGGACAGCGAGGCAAGGAGACTGGGCAAGGCTGGTTGAGTGAGTGGCAAATGGATTTGACCAGCCTTGAACCTTTAGTCCAGCATTTAACAGAGAGGAGATGAATGTTTGTTTGTCCTGAGGTGAGAGGCGAGCTGTCTATTCAAGACTTAGTCTACTTTGGCTGAGAGACGTGAGTTCTTGTGTTGCCCTAAAAATACTCTCGTCTCTTGCCAAAGTAGACTAAGTCTTGAATTGGCAGCTTCCCCATTTGGGGCAGGGCATTTTCCCTGGTTAGGATGGGAATCCATGGGGACTTCGAAAAATTCAGGGAGAAATGCCATCCTTAGTATGCAACTAACAAATATAAACATTACACACACACACACACACACACACACACTCACTCACACTCTATTTGGCCTTGTCGTGCTCTATTGCACCTTGGACAATATTTTCCTACCTTTTCACATCTCTTGACCAATGGGCATGCAAGTATGTGCCCATGTTTCTGATCAGTAGTTTCTCACACAGTAATTGTCTGCTTGCATTTTTACAGCCTGCCACAGACATTGACGAGGTACCTGATGTCATTTTGCCCCCTCATCAGCATGGGCAGAAGTTGGGAGATGCCATTGATTAAAATTGGATAATATTTTACATGGTTAAGCAGTAAATTCCCTTGTCCCACCCATATTGTGAACTAGGAACCATTTAAAACATTCAAGCAAGGTTACTTTTGATTTTAACCTGCTGCTTATGATGCAGGCTGTACTCACCTGTTCTTTAAGTCGAGGTGGTGAAGGCCAAGCATGATAGGTTGAAAGTAAAGAAAAAATGCTTAGATAAAAAGAAACAAGGAAAAGGGGAAACACATCTCCTGTTTGTATATGCTGAGAACTGTGATATTGCTCGTCTGTGTACTGCATAGGATTTTGAATTCAGAGTTTCTTCCTTGGTTAATGCCTCTTTATCAGAGGATAAAAAAAGGTCGTTTTGGCGGCTGGGCGCTAGAGTGGAGTGATACATTGGCCTTCCCCCTTATTCTTTTAATCAGAAGAAATCATCTTTTTTCCTTATTTTATTTTATTTATTTATTTTTTGAGAGAAAGAAGACTCTGGGAATGTAGGAAAACACAAATTCCGCACTTGCATACTAGATTCCTGCTCTGTTCAATCTTGTACTTCTGCTATGTAATTTTGTCCTATGAATTTTGGGTCTCTAAAACTTCCTCCATTCAATTGCATGTTCGCTCGGTTTGTGCTTTTTTCTTTTTGCCTTTTAAAGCTTTAACTGCAGAAAGGATTTGATTTCAAACATACCGGATTGAATTGATAAAAATATAAAAAGGGGCTGGACTGCTATATAAATCCTAAACCAAGCATATTGAATTGGTCGGCAAATGCACCATGGAGGGTCTACGAGGAATTACTCAAAAGTAAACGTTCATCAACGTGTATTCGGGCACCGGAGCTAGCATTTGCTGCCTGCTTGACTTACCAGAAGTAGAGCTGAGGTTCGATAAGCTGCCTTGTTACATTGTCTTAGGAACATACTTGCAAATGCCATTATCAGTGTTCTAAACCCTAGACTTAACCGGTTGGTTGAATTGGTTTGATCGTAACTTAACATAGTTCTCCTTTGGTAAAAATTGTTCTTCATAAAGACTTGGTCAGGGATTGTTCAATAGTCAATATTCATCATCCGGGGTCCTTCTAAGATCAGATTATAACGTTCCATAACACAACTGGAAAGCGCATTTGACTTCATCCATAACCCAAAAAACTGGTCATTCGTTGGAACTTCTTCAGTAGGCTTACAGCATTCCTTCTTGCCTGCTAGACCCAGTGGAACGGGAAGGAAGCTTAATTCGGCTGATTTGACTAAGAAAGCAATCTAGCATCATTCTGGTTCCATAGCAGGACACTGCCACCAACTGAACTGTGAAGAATTCCATAGTGTTTGTCCTCAGGCTATTTCAGTAAGATGGCCTACGACTAGGGAGGACAAAGCCCATGTTTCAGATCGTTGATTTCTAGAATCATTAGCGCTGCATGCTTCGTTGCCAAGAAGTTTTGCATAAGATTAGAAGATAATCATCGGCACAGAATTCGGTCATACTCCTATGGCGCCAATCTATAGTAGTTAATACTCCAACACGGTTCACTAATTAAATGAAGTGCAGAGCAATAACATAGTCTGGAACACCCTTTGTCCAAGTTTCCGACTTTATGTATTAAGCATACTTTAAAAGAAAATGCTAGGGGTGTTGGCGGGCGGTGTGGTTCGGTTCAGTTCAGTTCAGTTTGAGACTCAAGTATGAATTAAACTATATTTCATGATTTGTGATTTTTAGAAATCAAGCCAAACAATAATTTGTGATTTACAAAATAAAATGGATTAGATTTATTATTTTTTACAAAAGTTTTGACAAAATTTAATATCCAAAATTTTTCTCAACCTTTTCAATTTAATGAATTTATTATTAATTAAATAATCATAACAGTTTCACTTTTTACAATAAATATATTTATATAGTATAATAGAATTTGAATTCATACTAATGAAAATTACTCTATTTTTAACAAAAATTTCGGGCAAATTTCACTTAAAATTGATATTCAAATTTTTTTCCCAACCTCTTCAATTTAACAAATTTATTATTAATTAAATAATCATAACAATTTCACTTTATATAATAAATATATTTATATAGTATAATAGAATTTAAATTCATTCTAATAAAAATTAATCTTTGAAAAAGAAAAAAAATCAATTATCAAAAGAAGTATAAACTATATATATATATATGTATGTATGTATAGTTTTTCATTCTATATAAATATAAATTATACAATCTGGGGTCGATTTATATGGTTTGCTAAGTGATCAAACTGCAAATTATTCCATTTATAAACTAAATTAAATTAAATCAAATAAAAATATCAAAAAATTAAAATCAAACAAAACTAAATTAAACTGAGATTTTTTAATCAATTTATATGATTTAATTCGATTTACTGGAGACATAGAAAAACACCTACATCAAATTGCAAGATATTGCAAGTGGGAGCGCAATGATAACCAACCAAGGGGGGATACAAAGTGATACTACAAGATAAGAATTTAAATAACAGATAGACAGAACAATGGGAAGTCTGGGACATCATTTGTTCAACTTTTCCACTTCAAACTTGCAAGTGAAAAAAGAGTACACAGATGCGTGCTGCACTGGAGACTTTTCTTTTGTTCTACTGCTGATAATGGGAAAGCTAAGAGGAGATCAATCCAATTTAATTCCCGCCTGCTCCTACAATGATTAGATTTGGGAAATATATATTTAAGGCCTAACTCCCACAGTCATTAGAGCACCAACAGAACAAGAAATGAAAATATGCACACACAGGAGGATAAAATACGCCAGCAATCTAGACCCACAAGTAAAC